CCCCCCCTCTCCGCCCCCCTCCCCCCTCCCTCCTCCCCCGCCTGTCCAGGGGCGGCACTGCGGGCTGGGAAGCCGGGACCAGAGGAGGGAAGGAAGGAAGGAAGAGAAGAGAGGAGAGAGGGGAGGAGAAAGGAAGGAAGGAGAAGACGGAGAGAAGAGGGGTCTGGAGGGGCACAGGAGGAGACGACCGCACTCGCGCAACAGCATCCACAGGCCACAGTGGGGACCGGTGCTGCCTCCGCCGCTCCTCGGATGGTGACGGGGCCTCGCCGCGGCTGCAGCCCCCTTGAGCCCCGGCTCCGCAGGCCCACAGCGCCGGAGCCCCGCAGGAATCATGCCCAGGTCCTTCCTGGTCAAGAAGGTCAAACTTGACACGTTTTCTTCGGCAGACCTCGACAGCTCCTACGGGCGTGCCCGCAGCGACCTCGGAGCACGACTGCACGATAAAGGTTCGAGCTGGGCTGGGCTAGGGCTGGAGCGAGGGGGACAGGGGCTTTCTAGAAGGGGTGGGTCCTAGAATGTGGGCATAGAGACACAGACAGGGAAACAGGCTTGGGAGACTGACAGAAGGCTGAGGCTGGACCTGGGACAGAGGCAGAGGTGGGTACAGGGAGGAAGGTACACAGAGGCAGGTCAAGACCCCTGTCAAGGCTGGACAGAGTGTGTGGATGCAGGAGAGAAGACTGGGAAGAGGGGTCAGGAAGAGACACCCTGACCCTTCAGAGACCAGCACAGCTACTTAGACACCTGATGACATGACAGGACCCAGCCACATAGGGACATGCAGACCCACACCCAGAAACTTGGCCCACCTGACTACCCTCTTCTCTGTCTTGAGTGCACCTCCAGGACCCCTGCAAGGGTTATCTGGGGAATGATGGGAGCTTCAGGGAGGAGCCATGGGGCCCAGCATGGCTGCCCACCTGTCAGGACCAAATAACCAGCAGAGGCAGAGCAGTATCTTCTCTGAAGTCAGGATCAGGAGGGAGGATGTAGGCAAGCTAAATCCAAGGTGCTGGAGGTAGGAGAGGCTCTTTGTATCAGGGTGCCTAAGTTCAAGGACAACTGTTAGCATGCAGGCAAGGGGGCTGGGATTGCCAACAGTATGGGGTGGCAGAGCAAGTGTGACCTGCAGGAGCATGAGCCTGTGTGGGCCCATGTGACTGTGTGTGGCCATGTGACTGTGTGAGCTTGTGTGTGACCCTGTGTGAGTGTGTGCCTGCCTGTGTGCCACTACATGGGACCATGTGACTCAGACCGCTGTGTACCATGTGACCAAGAGTGTGTCTAGGATGGCTGCATATGTAACCCTGCATGAGTAGGTGGTGGGTGCCAGGGTCAGTGTGCAGCCTACCCTAGGAGAGGACCTCAGGACTGATGGTGGCTGACAGGCTGGTGTAACCCTGAAAGAGCCAGAGCCTGCATCTTAAGGAGAGTTTGTCTGTGACCTGAGATTGAGATCCATCTTGTTTCTTCGAGCTGCAGTTACTGGCATGAATGATGCTGCCCTTCTGCAGTTTGTCCTTTGAAGGTGTCCCCTGGTGAACGTCCTGGCTGGCAGTTTGCTCACTACAGTCTCCCTAGTCTGGGAAAGCCCCTGCAAGGGATTGGGGTTGGGAAGAAGAGGGCAATGTGGAGCAGGGTAGGACTCAGCGGTGTAGAATGGAGTGAGTGACAGGGAAGAGTGGATAGAGGGAGATGGGCAGGGCTCAAGGAGGTCCAGGGAGTGGTGGGAGAGGTGGGAAATGAGGGGGAGGTGCTGTTGAGGGCCAGAAAAATTGGGAGGCAGAAGTCTCTAGGGCTTGTTGAGGACCTAGGGAACTAGCATCAAGGCCGAGGGCAGATTCTCCGGGACCCTGGAGAGATGAGACTGCCGGGGTCCCTGTGCTGGCAGTCCTGGCTTTGTGCGCGGCGGGTCTGCAGTGTGTTGCATAATCAGGGAAAACTGCTGAAGTGGGGAGAACCCGAGGGGGAGGGGGAGGAGGAGGAGGAAGAGGGAAGCGCCGCCCCTCCCCCCTGACCTTGAGGCTCTGTGGAAGGGGGGGCAGCCGCACCCGAAGATGCGCCTCTCTCCTCCCCCCGCGGGGGCGGGGCAGTGGGGTGGCGGGGCGGAGCCGGCCCGGCCCGGGCTCACCCTCTGCTCTGCTCTGTTCTCTCTTCCTCTCCCTGCTGTCTCCATCCTTCCTGCCCCGCGCTGCCCCGGACCTGTCTCCTTTGTCCTCCTCTTGGTCGCCTCCTCTCGGACCTGTCCCTCGCCTGTCTGGTCCCGTGTGTGTCCTGCCTGACTCCCCGTGCCCCTCCCGCTGTCTGTCTGTCCCGCCCCGGCCCTCAGGATACCTCAGCGACTACGTGGGGCCAGCGTCCGTCTACGATGGCGACGCGGAGGCGGCGCTGCTCAAAGGGCCGTCCCCGGAGCCCATGTACGCTGCGGCTGTGCGGGGAGAGCTGGGGCCGGCGGCCTCAGGCTCGGCGCCACCGCCCACCCCGCGCCCGGAGCTGGCCACCGCCGCGGGCGGGTACATTAACGGCGACGCGGCGGTCAGCGAGGGCTACGCAGCCGACGCCTTCTTCATCACCGACGGGCGCTCGCGGCGCAAGGCCTCCCAAGCCAACGCGGCCGCCGCCCCCTCCACTGCTTCAGCAGCGG